AATGTCAGGTGATGGAGATTGCAGTGAAGGTAAGATTGCAGTAAGAGGTCACCTAGAGTTCTTAATTAGAAATGAAGAAAAAAATGATGTTACCAGACTTTTACCAAAAAAATCAAGAGTACTGAATTTTACAATGTAGTGCCAAGATCTTGCTATGGTATTTCTAAAGTGAAAATAGCAATATTATATTGCCCCCTACTGCCTATTTTTTATGATTATTTTCACAATTTCTTTATCTTAAAGGAAACTAACATTTATTGGTTTTGAATATGAAAGTAACATATCTTTAGAGTAGAAAAAGTCTAAAATACATAAGAATATAGATGAGATTTAAAAAGTCTGATGGGGTCTTCAAAAAGTTCACAGAAAATGCTATGCATGGATTTCAACTTATTTGCACCAAAATAAACTTGTACTTTATTTTTTTTCCTTTTTTTGTTTTCTTTAAAAAAGTTCTTTTCAATTGTGAGTTCTACTTTATAATTATTGTACACCTTTGTGGGGTACAGTATGGTTTTTAAAGCATGTGTATGGTGTGTAATAATCAAATTGAGGATATAAACGTATTCGTCTTATTCAACATTGCACAACATTGTGATACATATTTGATAATTGTTCTAGCTTTTGGAGGGGGGAAGTTTATATTAAATTTTCAGTGATTCTTTTACTTTGTTGTGGTAAAATTAAAAGAAATAGTACATTGGCTATGTAGCTTTCCACTAGAGAAGAGAAAACAAGCTTTCTACAAAGGCTCAAGAATCAAAATGGTGTCCACAAGATAGAGCATAAGGTAGCAATGCCATTATCCCAGTTAGATAAAGGTGTCAACCTAAAAGGAAAGCTGAGGCACGGTAATGAAGAGGAGGAAGTTTATTGGAACCAAGAGTTAAGGACGGTCATTTGGGCGACAAAGACAGAGTTCTTAATTAGAAATGAAGAAAAAAATGATGTTACCAGACTTTTACCAAAAAAATCAAGAGTACTGAATTTTACAATGTAGTGCCAAGATCTTGCTATGGTATTTCTAAAGTGAAAATAGCAATATTATATTGCCCCCTACTGCCTATTTTTTATGATTATTTTCACAATTTCTTTATCTTAAAGGAAACTAACATTTATTGGTTTTGAATATGAAAGTAACATATCTTTAGAGTAGAAAAAGTCTAAAATACATAAGAATATAGATGAGATTTAAAAAGTCTGATGGGGTCTTCAAAAAGTTCACAGAAAATGCTATGCATGGATTTCAACTTATTTGCACCAAAATAAACTTGTACTTTATTTTTTTTCCTTTTTTTGTTTTCTTTAAAAAAGTTCTTTTCAATTGTGAGTTCTACTTTATAATTATTGTACACCTTTGTGGGGTACAGTATGGTTTTTAAAGCATGTGTATGGTGTGTAATAATCAAATTGAGGATATAAACGTATTCGTCTTATTCAACATTGCACAACATTGTGATACATATTTGATAATTGTTCTAGCTTTTGGAGGGGGGAAGTTTATATTAAATTTTCAGTGATTCTTTTACTTTGTTGTGGTAAAATTAAAAGAAATAGTACATTGGCTATGTAGCTTTCCACTAGAGAAGAGAAAACAAGCTTTCTACAAAGGCTCAAGAATCAAAATGGTGTCCACAAGATACAGCACAAGGTAGCAATGCCATTATCCCAGTTAGATAAAGGTGTCAACCTAAAAGGAAAGCTGAGGCACGGTAATGAAGAGGAGGAAGTTTATTGGAACCAAGAGTTAAGGACGGTCATTTGGGCGACAAAGACACTAGTCATCCAGAAAGTACTCATGGAAATGGCTGTGTAGAGGGCTAGTTTGTAGAACAAAGAGAAGGACAAGAAGAAAGTTGTTAAGTTAGCAAGAATTCACACTGGGAGCCAGACAGTGAAGCAACAATAATACATGAAGGGGAGAGGTGGCGGGGGAACCAGCAGGCTCTGTGGTGGTTAAGGTGCTGGACATTCCCATTTAGCCAACCATGGTTCAAGTCCTGGACATAGTGACTTGCTTTCTCACTCTCTCTCTCTCTCTCTGTCTCTCTGGTCAAAATAAGTAAATGAATAAATAAAATTAATTAAAAATAAAAAAAAAATATGACAGTCTGGGAGGCAGATATACATGGGAACGTTACCAGATCATGTACGGAGGCCTCCCTGAGTATTCTGGACACATGGTGCCCATGATTCAAGCTGGGAGTAGATTATGATGTCAGGACCCTATCAGAGGTACTGTATCTCTGTCTCTCTCTTGCTCACTCATGGAATTACTTTAAAAAAGTATTTTGAAAAATGACTTTCCAGGGACCAGCAGTTAGTGTAAAGGCTATGTTGCTTGGACTCCCACATAGTCGATCGTGGTTCGCGTCCTGGACCCGGTGGCTTGAAAATTACGCCGAGCGCTTGTGCGTGTGTGCCC